TGTTAGATTTGCATTGATTGACATGTAATTATATATGACGATCGTACATAATAAAACACAAATACACCACACATGGCCTATGTGACGACACGTGAAAACGCTCTATAATAAACACTCCACTATTTTTTGTACTGTTTAATGCAAAATAAATTTAGCACTGTTTCACAAATTAAGCACGATTATTCCATTATAATTGACATTGTTGTTATCGTTATTGTTGTTGTACTTATTGTTATCGTTATCTTCATGGCCTTTACTATCTTAATTACTGAATTAGCATCATTATGACTATCACCATCATCTAATCCTAGTAATAGTTATCATTATCAGCAGCAGCAGCAGCATCTTCATCATCATCAACATCATCAACATCACCATCAACATCATCACCACCACCACCACCATCTAATCACCATTATAATCAATATCACCATCATCGACATCATCATCATCAACATCGCCATCATCATCATCATCAACATCACCATCATAACATAGCCATCATCATCATCACTATCATCATCATCATCGTCATCATCACCATCATCAWCATCAMCATCATCATCATCATCATCACCACCGCCATCACCATCATTATCACCAACATCAACATCATCACCACCATCATCATTTTCATCTTCATTTTCATCTTCATTACTGAATAACATTCCAAAATATTTAGCATAATATTAATTCATTATCATTATTATTATTCATGTGAAGGCATCTTCAGCACAACAAGTTTGCAGTTGTACCGGAAACTACATTCTCAGATATGGAGAACCTCAAATTTCTGTAAGTAGGAAAACACTTTTAGTATTAAACTATCAATGGTCTGTCAAGAATCCTGAGCTCCGATTGGCTGAGCTACTAGTGGTATATTAGTGATTAGTGGTATACTAAGTGCCGGTTTTGAAACCCAAAAACAACGGGCAAATAGATTATTCTAACCTAATTTCAGAATTGTTTGTATCCATTTTTGGACCAATAGTCCCCTTCACGGTTCCCTGCGCCATCTTGAAAGGTAGCCGGGCCTTTGCATCGAAGCGAGACGAACGGTGAGCYTGCAACGTTAGAGACCTGTGAATAATTGTCCAAGGTGTTAAAAAAGGTCTCTATCGTTGCAAGCTCAACGTTCGTCTCGCTTCGATGCAAAGGCCCGGCTACCTTTCAAGATGTCGCAGGGAACCGTGAAGGGGACTATTTGGTAGGTTTATACTTTTAAAAATTTAACTGAAACAAAGAAAAAATAAGAAACCACTGACAACTGCAAGTTAGTGCTTTCTCGAACAGGACCCTTGGCCAGCATTCTTTGCATACTGACTAAATTATCTAAGCCCGCAAGCTTCGTGGCCTGGAATAATTAATTGAAACGCATGTTCTTTTTTATTTCTGTTGTTTTTTTTTTTTCTTTAGGGAGGTTGACTACTTTATGCTCTGCTGCTACGCAAAGAGATACGCACCAAACGTCTACTGTGACGCCCCGGCACATGAGTTTTCTAGCTGTGACGATCTCATGAAGAACAAAGCTGCAAGAGTTTGCATTTGGATTCTTGGGATTCTGGCTTTCTTGGGAAATATATGTGTCGTTGTCTGGCGACTCTCTTTAAGCGAGGACAATAGAGTCCAGTCGCTTCTGCTTACCAACCTGGCCATTTCTGACTTCCTGATGGGTGTGTATCTCCTAATAATTGCAATAAAAGATGCACAGTGGCAAAAAGTATACTTCACGAAAGACTTCCAGTGGAGGAACGGGAATGTGTGCAAGTTTACTGGAGCACTTTCTATGCTGTCCAGTGAAGTATCTGTTCTGATGTTAACCATCATTACGGCCGATCGACTAAAATCGATTGTTTATCCCTTGAAGTTTAGAAAACTCTCTTACAAAAGTGCTTTGGTGATTTGCCTCGTCGTGTGGGTTTTCGGACTGATAATTACTTTCTTGCCAACAACTTCGCTCGAGTATTTTTACGATGAGGATGCAGAGATGGGATTTTACGGGCGTTCTTCAGTCTGTCTTCCCCTGCAGCTTTCCACATCTCGTCTGGCCGGTTGGGAATACTCAGTTAGCATCTTCATTGCACTCAACTTTGCTGCCTTCGTCTTCATATTTTTTGCATATCTTGCAATCTTCGTCACGGTAAAAAGATCTTCAGCCAAGACCAATTCCAAGAACGCAAGGAAAGAGGCAGCCATGGCATGGAAAGTAATGGCTATCATCCTGACTGATTTTYGTTGTTGGATGCCAGTCATCATCATGGGGGTGCTTTCCCTCACCGGCAATTTCCACGATCCTCAAGGTCTTGCTTATGTCTGGATTGCAGTATTTGTCTTACCAGTCAACTCTTCAATCAACCCCATACTTTATACATTTTCTAACGCTGATGTAAGAAAGAAGTTCATTAGCTATTTCATGATCAGGTCATTGAATGGTAATCACAGAAACACTGCATCGACTGGAGGTAAATATGATGATGATGATGGTAGTGGTGGTGATGATGATTATGATGATGATGATGATGATGATGGTGGTGGTTGATGGTGATGATGATGATGATGGTGGTGGTGATGATGATGATGATGATGATTATGATTTTTACAATAACTTACAAATTTCTCGCGCGCTGATTGGCTATTTTTTACCATTAGTAAGAGGACAGACAGATAAAGCTGAYGTCTACGAGCGCGCGCTCTTTCCGTTGGTTTTTTTTKATCACAAAAAATGAGAAGTTTTTATCGTATTTGTTATTGTAAATATTGACGATAAATTTCGTCATCACATTGTCAAAGTAATATGCGGATCCACGAAGCGTAACTACTTTGATAATGTGATGACGCAATTTATTGTCAATAAGAGGACAGACACATAAAAAACTGATGTCTATTTGTTAAGTTGATRATGATAATGATAATGGTTATGGTAATGATGAAGATGATGATTCTAAACACAAAATTCCGATTTCATTGTTCTTTTCTAAATTAGCTTGAAGTGAGTTTCCTGTGAAATGGATATTTAGATAAAAATACTAACAGGGTTTCCCCCCCTAAAAAGTGACATCGCAGGCTACAGAGATGAAAAAGCAAGATTCCCAAGTATCTACTATTCCGGCAAGCCTTATACTAAATGAAGTGTCAACAGTACTCCAGTCGGACAAAGATACCAGTGGAGTGGTAAGGCGTGATATTCCCTTTGTTTCAGAATTATTCCTCACGGAATGAGGTAGTGGACAGGGGTGAATCTAGTGGAGGAGGGGTGCACTCCTCTATATGAGGTTATGCCTACTGCATTATTGGTGTTTAAGTTTGTAAACAAAGGGTGCATCACCTCCTCAAACAAAAATCCTGGATGGTGCAACGCCCCCACCCATCCCCCTAGAAAAACATCCTGAATCTGCCCCTGGAGGAGATGGATTTGGTAATTGGAGGAAATGGGGGATCAGAACATGTACCTCAACAAACGTTAGTTATGAAATATAGACAACTTTAAAATATAGATATATTATTTACAGCCCAGGAGGTGCAGATAAGGGAAAAAATGTGCCCGAGGTTTGAATATACGGACCATGGCCGTTAGGCCGATGTCCGTTTTCAAGACCTAAGGCACAGTATTTCCCTATTGAACCGCCATTAGGACGATAAAGAACTCGATTTGTTTTTCAATTTACCTTTCCACTTCTTTTACAAATTGTTTCGTTGTTTAACGATCGGTTTTCCCGTGCGCGCGCTTGGATGACGTAAGTCTTACGCCAGGATACCGAAACGCGCACAAATTCATCGCAATCAAGTTTGAAAGATTTTTAGGATACCGGACCGGAAGAGAATTAATAACATTATTTGGACCACATGACCAGGTTCTAGGGACAAAATCTATACGATTAAGGTTTGGCAGGAAAACCGTAAAAGATCTACAAAAATGAATAAACTAATCTATTTTAAATTTCTTGAAAAAAGCCTATGAAATTGTTCTCTTTATAGGGTTACTTGACGTGCTGGGAGAAGAATRATTCAGAGTCTTTGTTGTTACTGAAGTGTTTCCTACCAGAAAACCATGTCAATTGGATTCGAGAGGTCAATCTTCTGAAGCTGTTGAGCAAAGGAACAGAAAATGAAAACCTGATGAATTATAAATGGCATACCATAGGTAGGAATCAATAAATATACTTCTTGTGTGTATATATATATTTAATCCTAATAGTTGTACACCCGCTCTTTAAGGGATCGGAACTATACTTAACAATTATTCGCCGAAGGCGAAGTGAATATCGGGGAATAATAACCGAAACRAAGTTGAGGTTATTATTACCGATATTCACTGAGCCTGAGGTGAATAATTGTTTTAGTATAAATACACAGGTGATTCTTTCAAAAAAAGAAAGAAAGAAAAAGAAGATAACAGACACTTTATTCCAGTAACAGCAACAAAGCGGCTGCCCGCCATTTTGGATTATTGCTGGAGGTGATTATCGTGTGCATGATAATCTGAGTTTCTCGACCTATCAGCTGGCGAGATTTTCAATAAACACCTGTGTATTTATGCTAAAATACAATACAATACGACTTTATTTCAAGATGGAAACGCAATAACCTTTTACAGTTGTCTAACTACGGCCCTCCAAAAAATATATAAATTGAATGTACAATGTGAATTTTTAAATGATATATATAATAAGTACTACAATATTTATAAGATTGACTTTTGTTATTAAATTAATCAGAAAAACTAACGCACATAGATTTCTATCTATCTGCGTTACTACAATATTGGTTAGAAACATAAACCAAATGGGAATTATGAATAAATAATATATAGAATAAGTACTATAGATTGATTCGAAATATAGTAYAGAGAGAATACAAGCTAGTGATTGTATCATTATATGTAGTAACGCTCTTAAAGTTTAACTGATAATTTCTTTTTCCAAAATTTAATRCAGTAAGAAATATTGAAATTGAAACAAACAACGTCGAAATTCCTGGAATACCGCTTTCGCCAAACTGTAGGTAAGACTAAGAACAGTTAAGATTTCAACATCAAGAGTTTAACATCGCAAAGTGGGTGACCACATTAACAAAGCGATAACGGGCTAGGATGACATTTCAACAGTGAATTTTGTATTAGAGACATTTGATACTGCAATTGGCATTGCTTCGTATAGTGCACAAGTTCTTACTTGACAAAACTCTCAATTGTTTTACAGTGTGATTTGCTTTGGATTTTCGATGAATTATATCCCACTCATCAAGTTCCTGAAAGACTCAGAATCTATTGCCAGGGTTGATCAGCTGTTCGCGGTAATCCTAGACGTTCTTAAGGCAGTTGAAAAACTCCACATATCTGGTGTTAGTCATGGAGATGTCGCTGCACACAACATCTTGATTGAGCATAATGCCTGCAGTAGGGTAGGTATCGGTGCAGATGTGATGAACAATGACTTGCAGTAGTGTGGTGTCGTGTCGTGTCGTGTCGTGTCGTGTCGTGT